CAGAATTACAAACTCGGACATATCAAGTGTGTTTAATGGATTACTTAATCAGGATGTAAGTAGCTGTTACGTTACATTCATTCCGACTAAATTTAGCTGCTGATACTTGTAATATAGTTGAGTAAACTTGATCCTCTAAGTGGTTTCATAATACAGTGGTATTGATTACAAATGGTAGTAAAATGAGAAATGAGAAATTGAGGTATATACTCACAAATGAGGAAAATGTTACAGTGACATAAAACGTAGTGAAATAATTCAAGAGCCTAAGAAAAATGTGAAAGAATGAAATTATTTCACTGTGGTCAATATCAAACTATCTCACTTGCAATCTTTATAACCATAATCATGGGAAATTGATTCATGGGAAACTCATTGTAACATTTATAAAAAATTGAGTTTGTAAGGCGTAAACATGATTCCTTTGAAATCACATCTCTTTGGCAACTTCTCATGGTTGATACTGTTCATTTTTATACGACTGTTTGCGTTAAGTGACAACTGTATGCAAGTAATGCTGAGATTTAACACTGAGTGTGGGAATAGTCGATATCATTATTCATTCGATAAGTTCACGTTGAAGACATTGGCTTAGGTACATTATGATTATGAAATATCGGTATCTTTCATTTCGACAGCTGTTTGCAAATGTTACGAACAGTCGAAAGAACTTTAGCGTGTGGGAGACTATCTCACTTGCGTTATATATGTCGCTCATAGAATCGCCTAGAAAAAAATCGACATTTGAAACTCACACCTTAAAAGACAACAATCTGAAAGTAACCTCGAATCATAGAATTAACATATGAAGGTATTTTAATCTCATGGAAAATAATAACAAATACAACTAGATACATCATGATGAAATTGCACTTAAAGCTTTATCTTTTGCCTTTAGGCTGGTTGTTTTCTTTCTAAAAGAAACAGTCGACACGATTGATAAGAGGAAATATATAAATATTATTACCATTACATTTTGTGATTTATGAAAAGAACAAATGAGTGACATCAATCCACATTTAGTTTCTTTTCATCAATAGTCATTGTCATTATAATAAGCATCGAAAACAATTTTGTAATATTGACATTTCTTAGAAGTATAAACTCCACAGTACTCAAAACATAAACAAACGAGGAACACAGTAACACTGAGAAATTTGTAAGGTTTACAGAACTATATTATGTTTAGACTTAAATCAATTAGATTAACCCGAGGTACAGGATAAATCGTCACAAGTGAAAGTGAATATATCGTAAAAATGAATAGAAAGTTCAGTGAATAACCTTATAAAACATTTAATCATACATTAAAGCCGAATTGTCACTTCAATAAAATAAAGACATTTGGAGAGAAAATTACTAAAATTGAAAGCAATGCCAATAAATACCTAACTATATAAAAGTTTAGAAAGAACTAATAAGAAAATATCAAACTGTAATCGACCATCAAATAGTGATTTACATCAATATTTGTTTGTAGATATGTATGCATAAGGTTAATTGCTTGAAGATATAAATATTCTTGACTAAATTTCACGTGAATGGATAATCAACTAACAACTAGACGAAAAACCAAGTGATATTTTGCTGTCAGACCGTGAAAAAAATAACGTTACATTGGTGTGAAAGTATTTGAGGGTGTTATTTGTCTGATTTTCGTTCATGGAAAAAAATGTATATGTACAGCGACAATTTGAAGGATAAAGGCATGAGCATTATGAGGGAGCTTTAAACCAGGATGATATATTTATCTAGTCCCTCCTGAATTTTTTAATGCTTACTTAGCTGGTATCAGATTACAATGAAGAATATCTTTAAAACGAAGACTGTTGTGTAATTAGAAATGCAAAAGGTATGTATGATACTGTTAGTTTAACCAGATTCGTATACATTTTCAATATATTACCTGCACTTCGCTGCACCATTCCATCGAAAATACAAATAACTAACTTCATTAATAGTTATATGGGGATGATTGTTCTAGGCACTAGATGTATCTAGGATTCTATACAAATTATCACAAATTATTTCGACCACGATGTCAGTTTAAGTAAACTTACTGCAAGAATGAAGTACAGAGCACGAGCAAACATTTGACTACCAATTAATAGGATAGACGTACAAAGTGCAAGAATAACTATGGCATACAGGTAACTCCACCAGTGATTTTCACCAGGTAGTACCCCATCGAATAAAATACCTTAGAAAAAGAATAAATACAAACGCAAATATGAAACTAGTACAAACCAAAATGTTACGTATCATCAATATTTCTGACCCGGAATTACGGCGCATATAATACAATTTCTACAGCTGAAGTTCTAATGGTATTTTAAAACTAGCCTACCATTATTTTTTTTCCAGTGACTCAACGAACAGTTTCAGTTGCGCATCATGAAGGCTGATATCAGGAGTAACAAGAGATTAGTACAATGGATGATTTTTGTTTCGCCGCTATCACAGTAAAAAGTAACGTGATTATGTCAGAATAGATCACCGATACGAAAATATACCAAAAACAAGCACTTTTTGTGACTAACGAAATAATCTAGTATAGAGAAATTTTAAACGAAAAAAGTTTAGAGCATCCAACAACAAAACTATGGGTCATAAATTAACCTTCATCTGTAAGCATAATTTTAAGGAATCTTTCATCTTCAAAAGAGCACTACTTAATGAACCATCAGGAAGAAAATAACATTATAGTAAATAGTAGCTTTACGACTAATTAGGAATATACCTCAGTGGGCCTAGTTTCTGACAACGGACTTCGACTAGTGGTCAAAATAACCGACTTCCAACAACCTGAGTGTAAATCTTACACTGTCTGCAAAGTTATAACGAGTGAGTAAAATCCTAAATGCTCAAATAATAGGCGTGATCAACCAAAGAATGTATATCTACGAAGGTGGTTACTGAGCTGTAGTATTTTATTGCAAGTCCTAGAACAATATCATAGAAAAACTCATCAGCGAAAGGTAAATACAACGGACAAGGTTTACATTTCGATTGCGAAGATTATTCAGGTATAATTTCTACGTTTAAAATACAGTCTCGTAGTTATATTTACAAAAACTAACTAACCTCCAGGACCGAAATTTATGAGCACAGCTTCCACTAATCCCGCTATATACAAAGCAGCACTACAAACTTGTGCGAGGAAAAATATCGATCCGATAGCTCCACCGAATTCAGGGCCTAAAGTCCTACTAAGCATGACTAATTGATTTTTTCATCAAGGAAATCAGTTACAGTTAATATGTGAAAACAATTTCAGAAAACACAAAGACGTATTGATATATACCGTAATAACTACTTCACTTTGAATAAAAGCTTGAGTGAACTGAACGAATACAACTCTACACGATACTCAGTTTCGTCATAGAGTATTATATAATGGCTGTAAGTCGGTTGATAAGAACCAAAACCTTAGTCAGTTAATGCATTTGAGACATGTTTGGCCATAGCCTCCTCCGAAGCAATGTTGGCTGGAGTAGAAACAGTGTAGAAAGCTACACGTGTCTAAACAAATAAACCCTAACAGTCAGTGAAGTCATTATTAGATAGAGGCGTTCATGGAGGGGCAAGCTTTCTGGTTGCTTGAGTAGTAGTCGGAATCAATTGTTCAGTCCCAATGCAATATCTTTATTCATTCCTTACCTTTGTTTAGATTGAGATTTATAATATTATCCCATGAACTGTCAAAAACCGTCCAGCACTACTAGGTTTCCAATAATAGTTTAACTAACATCAGTTCATAATCTATACTATGAAAATTACATTGAGATTTTGACTTATTCGCTCTTCCTCTACCTGTTATTGATAAAGTATGGTAACGCAGGTCGCTACACATTGTTTATGGTTAGCTATACAATATGCGAAAATTTTTAAACTGGTAAACATATGGTATGTATGCATTATTGTCGGGAAACCTCATGATTCACAGAGTCAACGACTAGAAGAAATACTGTTAATGTGATCATTCTGAATCATTACAACCAGAGTATATGATCGAGAACATAGACTAAATTTTTACAACATACTATGACAATATTATTCCAGTTTCAGGTATGATATTGCTATAACGAAGCAGTTACCCTTGACTTAATTTCAAAACATCAGATTTATTATCAGCATTATATATCATAACTAGTGAAACTTCTGAATGGTTTCATATTCAATTCAATTACTTAATTGCTTCCTTTATGTGTAGGCACTATCAGATCCATAATGAATAATTTTAAAAATCTTTACCAAATGAAATTTGATTAAAGTGTCACCACTCTAATCCATTGGTTAACAACTAGTACTTCCTACGAGAACAGTTCACCTTACCTGACAAACTCTTTTAGAAAAACCACTTCATCCAGAAGTAATCAGGAAAATTAATAAGTCAGTTAAATTATTTTCCCTACAAGCAGTATCACCACAAACTTGAAATAAATAAGAAATACTTCTTTAACAATTCAGTTTAGCTGAAGCCACCTTCGATACACGTGTACATGTATACACGATGGTGAAAAAATATGTGATTAGTACTTTTATATACGAATGACAAAATCTAATCAGATTTCCTACAATTAAAAACAATCTGAAATACCAAGTTAAATGAAAAATGGAGCATGAAAAGCACTAAACGACTCATTTTCTTACGAATTCTTCTAATTACAATAGAAAAGGATACAATATACACCTCCTCCTTCAACTGCCCCATTTGTACTAATTGCGCATATAGAAAATACAGTCAGCAACAGGATGAAATAGGATAGTAATAGTTGTAATATACTTTCCAGCAAACCAGCATGAGCAATAATAAACCCTGCGCGAGGAGCAATTTTTATAGAAAAACACTGAACGTACCTAAACGTAGAAATATCACGCTACTGAATTGGGATAACGTTACAGAGCAAAACACGCCACCAAATGTGTTCAACGTACGACGTGAAATGACAACATTGTCATCAAGCGATTTACTAATGTCAGCCATTGGGTTTTATGGATTAGTTTTTAGGCAATACCATCACGGACGGACGAATATCCCCAAGTACCATATGATGAGAGTATTGATCTACGTGAAAGAAAGGAAATTAAACGGAAATAAATAGTCATTAGTAATAACAATAACAGTCTTTGCAGCCCAAATAAGGTGACTAACCTTTTTTCCATCTATGGGCTTACTGTGGTGTTTCCCCATGTTAGAAATACGGATGAATCACCAAGGTCTTTAGTTTCTAAACATCGAGTTCAAAATCTGAAACTTGACTTACTTATCGAGGTTTTGACAGTCATACATCAGTTAACTTTCGAAATCCAGATGAACACAACACACTACCATATTAACAGTCAAAGAATCCCATATTCGTATTTTATTTCACCTTCGGCTATATGTCTATCTATGACAACCAAGGACGACTAACAAGTTCACTGTTGCCCTACGTCTACGAATATTTTCACTAACTTTTAATAAATTCACGTTACAAGACGAACGAGGTTATAAGTGAATTTGTCAATCGTCCATGGTTGTCACAGTCCGATATACAACCGAAGATGGGATAAAATACGAACGATTTTCATGAAAAAACATAAATTGCTTTCGTTTAGTCAACTTGTCGACGAAAGCACGATCAACGGTAATTGACTTTAACAGTGATTTATGTTGCATTAATAGCAGTCAACACTGCTAATTATGATGAAAATCTACCAACTGTGATAGTATCCAGTAGTCACAACAATGAAAGGTCTCTGAATGATAATGGTATGTGAAAGAAGTGAAATAATTAATCCATTTTTTGTAGGATGTAATCACATTTATTTGCGTTCATAGAAGTTCATAAAGCGAGAAGAACAGATAAATATGGCATTGATGAATTTGATGACAAATAGCTGTCAGACAAGCAGGAATGTTGATCGCATCCTAAATGCTTTTCGAGATCTTGTACCAGATTTAACAAGCACCACTAGAAGTGTCCTACGAATGTGCACAAGTGTTCAACTTAAGTTCATAAGTAGTGGTGTTTACTACCATCTCTGATTAGAAACTTTGGTTGAGTACTTGTGGTTTTGAAACACTGGACTTGCATATTAATGTAGACAGACATTTGATTTCAAGGATCTCTAGTCAACGATTATGGCCTATATTAAGACGCATCGTTGCCCCTAGGTTTAGAGACGTGTTCATGACAGGCGTTTATGGAGGGAACGCTAAGCCAATCGAATTTAACGAAATAGTCACAAGAACATATGGGCTGACTGTAAATGCATTGCCGTTAACTGTGTTAATAATGCAGTAATTGTTCCATTGCTGCATATGTTCAAGTGAATATAATTTGTAAAACTTTTTCGATGGTATTATTCTAAATCATTTCCTTACATTCTACATACAGTCAGTCAGTCAGTCAGTCAGCTACAACGTAGGACCAGGCACATATGTGCATCGGTCCAGGTTGCCATACCGCATAAGCACAACAGGATGAACACCAGATTCATAGCAGTGGTTATGTCAAAGGTGGTAATATATAAGAGAAAGATTGCATATAGAGATATAGTACAAGAGGAAAGAATTGGTTCGTAGAAAGATATGAAGCGATTTTAATTTCTTAGTTTAAGGGAAGACAGGGAGTGTATACACCGACGCCATTGTGATCGATCCTGAGCCATGTCACCAAGAGTCTCCAACCATTGGTTACGACTCACGCGGACCCCAACCAAGTAGTTTGCATCTACCAACATGGCTCAGACTAGAAGTTAGTGACTTCAAGCACTGATGCCACGTTTTGGTTTGGCCGCCCTTAACTTCCTTCTAACCATACCGAACACCGGTTAGCATTGCACGTCGTGGTAATCGGTGTTCGGGCATACGTAACACGTGGCCCAACCATCTCAGTCGATGAAGATTCACAACCTCATCGACTGATTTACCATCATTTCCTAATACCCTGCGTCTAACCTCACTATTACTTATCCGGTGGTCCCAGCAGACGCCAGCAATATTTCTAAGGCATCTATGGTCAAATACTAATAGCTTACGAGTGCCTTCTACGTACTGTTTAGCTGAGTAATAAGCAGCTCGTACTTATCGACGCACAAAGCAAGAGACAGTTTCTAATGGCAGATAAGCAGTGAACTGAGAACTTTGTCTTTAGCCTACGAACACTGTGTATATGCACCAGTAGAACAGTGCCCAGCCAGGTGACAATTAATCCTAAAGTCCAAAGGTCATCAACCGCTGTAGTGAGTTACAAACATAGGGACGATCATTTCCTATAGATAGTTTCGAGACTGCAAAGGATTTGTTGGTTTTGTTCAACAACTTGACTGGTTACTGTGTCGCTAATTTTACGGAAGAAAACATCTTGCCACTAAACGAAGAGAAGCCAAAGAGGTCGATAAAGTAATCTCATTATTATTTTGTAGAGGTGTATTGAAACGGAAGGAAAGGTTTCTGTACAATTCCGTTGATATGGATGTGAATGAGATGCAGGCTGGAAACAGCCACGTTCAATATCATAAATTTGGATTGCTAGATACGTTTTCTCACCAGTTGCCAAGTCGACGTGTTTTCTTTAAAAAAGTTGATAAACAATTTCGACATAGTTGGATGCGTCACCTTAAACGTACGTGTAGAGGCGTGTGGGCAGTGCATTAGCGGCCGAGCAAGTCACGTGTCCGACTGAGTTAAGTGCTTAAGATTTGGTACACCGTGTGATGTGCTGCAGAACATATCGTCTGCTGTTTCAGACTTGAGTGCCAACACTAAGTAGCTAATGTCGAGGTCTGGTGGGCGTGAACATCCGCGGTAACTTGGTTTCGGACTATCAAGTTCGCAGCTCCCTTTTTCATCTACAGAGGGACTAGGAACGTTGGACGCATGTCTTTAGCAAGAAGATATGAGGGACAAATTTTTAAGTCAATAAAATTCATTAAATTATTTGTTCGTAATGCAGATGACCATGTTGAAGCGGTTAAAGACACTTTATCTACAATAAAATACATAAAGATCGTTGCTCGGGTATCTGTTACAAATATCTTTGTGTAATACGGTGTTTCTTCTAGTTAATAAATGTCTTTAACCATGTATCATTTTTAAACGTAGTCGATTGCAGTCATCGTGTAATTTGTTATGGAAATAAAGCCGAACATGGAAGACATATGGGGTTAGGCAAAAGATGGACAACAAAGCGTGTGATCAACGGTACAGTAAAAAATGAGGCAACAGGTTAGACGAAAAGCAGAAAATTTGGCGACTTTTGAGACATAGAGAAAAAAAGGAGAAAAATTCCGCATTATTTCCCATGACAGAAAAAAAACATTCTGGAGCGGCTCCACAGTAAATCCCCCTTTACCATAGAAAAGTACCCTGTACTTCCCACTCCCACGCTTTTATTGCCTCTTTAATTGATTGCTTGTGAATACCCGTCAGGGTGTTTATTAATCTAATGCGCAATAGCGAATTAAGATCACAAAAATATAAAGTTCTACACTAATAGTACAAAATCCATAACCTAAAGAATGAATCACACACACCTAGACAGAGCCGTACGTGGCAAGCAACATTTATGAGATACGACCATTTAACAACTTACCGCTGAAATTCAAGTAACCGAAACTATTAAGTGGTAATAGTAACGTTCTCAAGGACATGGCCTAAGCAGGGCAATTAACTATGAATGTGCAAAACAAACTTTTAGTAGCATCATATTTTGTATTGTACCTAAATGTTATTAATTAAATATCTTCATACATTGCAAACGGTTGAGCATGGTTTATCGCATTTTTACTAAGTTGTTCATTTGCTCCATTCAATTTCTTTTCCTACGGAAGTACGAAGTACACTTACTGAAAACAACGAGCGTTGAACTTTTGTTATTCCGAATTACATACCTTTTATTTACTAGTGTTTACTCAAGGAAGTACTCATGGTAAATGATTATGCGCTCCTAGGTCAAGGCTCTCGGTCAAACATCACCACCAGATCACTATCGAGTGCTCCACTCATAACAACCGATCATTTCAGATCATTTATTTCTGGACACATCAGCCGATTCCCAAATATATCTCTGAACTCCTTCACTCTAGGCTTCTAGTTTGACTCAAATTGAAATCTTCGACTAGAACGGTGTTACGGACGATAATACTGTCGAGCTCTTGGTATTCGCCGTGTAGTGCGCCTCAAAAATGGTCTGGCACCCAAAACGATTAGATGTAAGTTTATTCCTTGTACCAACATTGTGCGTATATATTTTTTTCGTCTGTTATGTCTGACGTGTTTACTTCAACGTAGGTATTACGCAAACCCACCCACTTGATATTCGTTGTTGTAGATGCTTTTACGCCAATCATTGGTCTAGACCTACGACAACGTAATAATCCACTCATCAACACGTGCAAATAGGCGTTGGTAGATGAAAATACTAAATTGTCAATTTGTGGAACTTTATTTTCCGGTAGTCTTCCGTCACAGCTAAGCATAAAATCGATCTATACTATCAACGGATACTCGACAAGTACCCTGAGCTGTATGAAACTCTACCAAACAACCGTGCGTAACCATAAATATTACACATCATATCACGACTATAGGACCACCTGTATTCCTGAAAGCGCGCCGACTAGCTCCCGAAAGGCGGAGCTTGGCTAAAAACTAATTCGATCACATGATAGACTTAGGGATTCTAGAGCCATTAAGCAGCCCATGTTCATCTTCTGTCCAGAAAAACGACAACAAGGATTGGCTTCTAACTGGCGACTATCGGCGAATGAATGCGAAATCCGTTCCTGATAGTTACCTGTTGCCTCACATTCACGATTTGAAAGACACAACTATTTTTTTCTGAAATCCATGTTGTTAAAGTATACAACCAAAAAACTATGGTTGCTGTCGACATTCCTAAAACGGCTGCCATCAATCCCTTCGGATTCTACGAAATTTTGCACATGCGTTCCGACTTAATTAAAGCTGCACAAACTTTCCAGAGACTCATTGACGACGTTTCTTGAGGTCCAAACTTCGTGCATGTGTATGTGGATGACTGCTTGATGGCATGTCTGGTCAGAGAATCCTACCTCCAGCATCCGGACCCTCTCTTCGAACGATTGCAAAGACATGGCATTAGTGTAGACATACAGAAATGTCAAATTGGCACCGACTTTCCACATTACATCAAACACACTATTGATGCTCAAGGCATTCGACACCTGGGAAACAAAGTAGTTGCCATTCTGAATTACTCAGAGCCGACCATAATCAAGCAACTACACACGTTCACTGGCCTGGCAATTTTCTTTCGACGGTTCATACCGAATCACGCGTCCCTTATAAAACCTTTAACTGACGAACTTCGTAAAAATGCGAAATTCATCAGCTCGAGCGATATCGTAAAAAAAGCATTCTCCACAATTAAGCAACTTGTCTCCAAAGCAACGTTGCTTTCACATCAGTACTTCGACACACAGATTGGTATCGTAGTAGACTCATCCGACTAAGCAATCAAAGTAATCTTACAACAATGGGTTAACCACACCTGTCAAACATTGCGTTCTTTTCAAGACGGTTGCTAGACATGGAATCGATGTGTAGAACTTTCGGTAGGGAACTCATATCCATGTAATGTACTGTACAGCACTTTCAACATTCTGTTGAAGGCCGGGAATTCACTCTTTACACCGATCACAAACCTCCAAACTTCTCCTTAAACTCATCTTCAGAAAAGTACTTCCCTCAAGATTCTTAACAACTGGACTACGTTTCGCAGTTTACTTCAGATGTACGACACAGCTCTTGAGCAAACAATTTGGTTGTAGACGCGTTGTATCGTATAACATCCCTGAACGGTTCTCGTGTAGCCGACCTTCTTCTACTCGCACAGCCTTAACAAGAAAATAGCGATCTTCAGCACGAGTTATCTTCCACAACCCTTGAACTCCGTATTGAACAGATGGTGATGGGGATGGAAGCCGTAATATGTGACATATCTATGGGTAGGGACCGTTCAGTCGTGCTGAAACATTATCGACGCAATTACTCCAAACAGTTTTACAGGCTTCATCTATGTGTTCCAACCATCGTCAAGCTTACCGCAGAACTATTTTCTATCTGTACTACACTACTCAGCACCACGCGGTTCCGAACTGCCGTCTACCACCCACATGGTAAACGGTAAGCAAAACGATTTCGTCGATAGTTAAAAGCTTCACTTCTAGCTGAAAACGCATCACAATGAATCGACGCTCTTCCACTTGTGTTACTTGATATTCGCAGTTCAGCGTATTCCGACACTGGATGCACTGAACTTTAAGGCATGATTGTTCGTTTTCCACGACAACTCATGGATTCCTTATCTTTGTCAGTAAGTGGGGTTCTTGACTCTTATATAAACTAGCTAACAAACGCAGTCGATTATTTGAACCCTCCTTAAAACCACTTGAGTCTACATACCAAGTATTTTACGAAGCTCTACTTGGCGAATGTAAGTACTATACAGATAATAGAGGCGCAACTAATGACGAAATAAATCTGGGACTGCTAAAAGCCACTTTCTTAGGAAGAAACTTCTTCCTACTTTATATTATCACTATAAAATCTACGTGGCTGAAATGGGATCCATGATGACTGACGATCTCGATGCAACCTCAGTAGTACCCGATAGTCGACATTAAACAATGAGTTCTGTACAAAATTTGAAATACCCAGAACGAACACAGCTTACAGGAAATTTATTCGGCTTATTCCTCAATACATCATAATTCGTATGGACTCTCTATTCATTTGTAAAACCCTTATGTTAGTACAGAGCCCTGATGAACAACTAACTGAAAAGAAATGATTAGTAGTACAACTTCGTTTATTCTTTTATATATGGTATTTTGTGTTCTATAGATAATTAGTTGGATATTCAGTTCTTGCTGCTCTGAATATTAAAAAATCAAGAGGTCGGGCCTTATCAATATACTATTACATACGTTTCACAGGTTGAAATCATGAGTCGATTGAAGCTAGACCGCCATGGAAAATCCTAGTATGGGACTCCTCAGCAGTGCGGGATCGTGCACGCGCACTGCTTCATCCTGTGAAATTTCTAAAACTCTCCACAAAACCCATTCTGGTATTACATATGTGTTTATCTTTTTCATCAAACCTCCAGAAAACCAACCTTTTCGCGTGTAATCTGCTGTCTCCTCGGTTTGCTTGCTCATACAATGACAAGTTTATTTGACATCCACTTATGTAGAATTATGGTCCACTTCGGTATTTGTACTGCTCCAATAATAGACTTAAAATTGCAGATTTATTATGATGTAACTGCCTAATCTAATGATCTTACGTGAAAGCTACATCTTGTTTACCCTGACTCATTATATTGTAACAATCATCAATATATGATGAACACATTTGGACTGGAGATAGAACAATTATTTAATATGGATAAAGATTATTTAACATAAGTATGACCATGTATATGATTCCCTGTTTATTGTATTACTTGACCCAATACTAATGACTTTTAAATTAAACTGTAGACAAAGATGTTAGACATTTGTTGAAATACATTAGTATTTCCTACATAAAGCATTAAACAGAGTAAAATTAACTTTCGAATTTTGGGAATCGATTCACATTGTTTCATAGTCATATCTTTTATTACTATATTTTTGTAGCGGTTTGAAGAACCATGTTCACACCAATTACAAATTCTATGAATCCGTCTGATCCCCAAAAATACAGTCCTACTTCTTTTTTCCTTTCCCTTTTTTTGTCTTCGTTCCTTTTCTCTTCTTTTTCCCATACGGACCAAGATTATGTTGAACGCAAACAGTACGCCACCAATTTTGAATCTAAATGCAAAATAAGGGTTGTTAGTTTAAATACAAGAAATAATCTGAACACTTTCATGTTTAAAATAAAAGTTTATATGGACGTAATAAAAACAAATTATTATCTGGTGAAAAATACCGATTGGATTCTTTGCAAACATACGGTGCTTCACTCCAGATTTGAACACAAACTAATTAGATTCATTGAATATATAGATGTTTTCATAATGTCACTCGCTCTGAGTGTGTACAATGAAATCTAAAAGTTTTTCTTCTAGACCTATTTTTAAATAATTTCTACCTACTTCCAAGTAAATTCTTAAGAACAGTCCTAGTCACTTAAGAAGATTGATATTTCGAACGTTCAAGCTAACCATAGAATCGTATTTGCTTATTGTTGCAACATAATAAAATACATTTTTCCCATGAATTAAAATAGAATGTTACCGTGATAAAACTATTGTTCTTCTTTTGAGTGTATTGAAATGATAAGATATTAATAATTTTGAACTCTTTATTTCTTAAGGTATTATATACATCTTCAATAGTAATGTTTTCATTTACAAGTATTATGACACATATTTCATAAAGCTGTAATTTGGAATAATTAAATGAACGTCTCGTACGTTATTTAGGATAACAATTTTGTTATTAAAAATATTGAATCATAGAAATTATTCAATGATGTCGTTTAGTAAAAGCAGTTTTATGCATTTGAGACTTTGAATTACATAGTATTGTTAAATTAAGTCCGATTTGTAGTAAAAGAGGATGATGAAACCTCACTTTATTTCACATTCAACAGATTATTATTATATGGATTTTACATTGTTCCAGTTCAGTGTTGAAACAAACACATTCTTAGTTTGCTTTCAATATTAGTATACAATTCAACTTTTATAATTTTCATGGTGTATCAAATAAAATAATAAAAATCAATGATAAAAACAATAAAACTTTATCTGAAGATAATTCTTTTCACGAATCGACTGATGACAATTACAAATAAAGGATCTCATAACAGATGTTCTGTTCTCAACAGTATGTTTAAATTAGCTTGTGATATAAATTACCTTCTCACAGAACTAGTTTTTATAAATTATCTTATGAAATAACATGTTTTTGAGTTGATTAAGTGAATGTATGCTTTCTGTTTAAGACTTTTCGGAAGCAGAAATGTAGATCTTGAAGAAACTATTAATTGCTACTGAACGTAAATACTTGAAGCACCAGATTAAAATAGTATATAAATAATCAGTTGATTATTTAAGTGTGAAGTATTCGAAAATTTAATGATGGAATTGTTTATTCATGAAAAAAGACAATGCATAAATTCCTACAGATCGGTTTGAAAAGTCAATATTCGGTAATTGAATGATAGTTAAGTCATGAAATCTGATTTTATCCAGTCGATTATACTAAGTCATCAATTATCTAGCAGTATTTCCTAATAACAATTAGGTCTACCATACCAATACAACAAATGAAGAAACATTAATATAAAATAGTATGTGCAGAAGAGTGATTTTTCTACCATCATGGATGTATAAAATTACTTTTATTAACAACACAAGATAAAAATATCATATAAACCAGAAAGTTGAAATAAGATGCTAAAATCTGTAAGCTTTGTTCATAGGATAAGATTTATATCCAGTTACCATAAGCTTACTAGCTGTTATCTGAGAAGTAAACATAGAAACAACCATCCCAACAGTGCGTTACTTTACATATGAACATTATGAATTGTTTCAAAGCTTTCGAATGTTAGGCAACTGTGGTATTTTTTTATGAATTAATGATTCCTTTGTACTTGATGACTGATTGATTTCGAATTCTAAATACAATACCTTTGTTTGTGCTCATATAGTTCTTCTTGTTTAAAATTCGTTATTTCTGGGATTTCTAGTTTGTACTGTAATTCAAATACTCCTAATTATCACAGAAACCCTACTTTTGTATCTGAAAGTTAATGTATTAACTATATACTAGATTTTTACACATAACTTATGTTCAGAAATATCCAATCTCCCAATTTTGGGGAAAATATGATAGTGAATAGCGAATAAGTCTATGATAAATTAAATTCATTTGAAATAAGCTAAAACAATATCATCATTAATAGAAACCAACGAAGAAAGCTAAGTTTTAAAAATAAATATAAAGACTTTTTACTTAGAAGAAATACACAATATAATTGTCATTAATTTGTAAGTAAACTGTATCATACATTAAATTGAAGTAGAATCTATTTATTTGCCAGTCAAACATGAGAACCTATTACAATACACATTGAAATTGTAGCATAAATTTCATAATTTACAATATAAAGAGTTGAAAATAGACTTTGTTAAACTTACTTTACAAGCTGCGAACAATTCTAACTCTTCTTGTTCTTCTCTTTGACGAGCTTTCTCTTTTTCAATTCGATCAGACAGAACTACGGCTTCATATTCTTTATACTATGAAAGAAAGACAAGATAACGTAGCCATAAATTTTTATCAAAACATCTACCTTATCATAGAAAGTTGTAAACTATTAGGCATTCAAATATTCCATATAAGTCGAATAACTTGAAATTGAGATCAAGTATACCTGAAACATAACTAAAAACATTTTTACACATGTTACTGTTGATCAGATCCCTATATAAAAGCTATAAGGTTCGTCTTTTACGAAATCCATCTACTTTAGTCTAGATCCTTTGAAAAACAATTCATGTTACTAGCTATTTCATAGATCTCTAACAAAATTGTCTACGCTTGTTCACAAATGAATAATAAGCCAACTTCGAAACTAGAGAATCCGAAATGACATTAAATGAATTAGAAAATAATTAAATCACAAGAACTAGTTCTGAATCCTTTCGTTAATAAAAGTGCTACTCTGGTTAGAAAACTGACTACAAGCTGGCTATCTAGACTCTGTAACTAAATGCATAATACGATGGTGTTGGAAGCGAACGGTATGGGTTTAAGTTTCGGAGTGAACATCAATGCTGGGATCCATCTGCATCCAGCTAACGATTCCCGAACAAGACGAAACGCGCGTCCTGGATTCCACCGATAGCCACCATACATCTCTGCTTATGATCATTTGACTTAATAGTAATGTCGAGACAATCTGCACAGGATCCACATACGCTAAAAAATAGACTGATCATTTACATTCCTAAACATCAACGGGAAGGTCCAAGCAACTAATGAAAAGGAACTGACTAGGTTTTTCCTTAATCCGTGTTGGATCCATTTAAAGTAAATCAAGGTCTTATTGTAGCCTATCACTTTATGTAAAAAATGTATATTACTTCATAATATTAGTTTACGAAGTACTTTATGCAAATGTACAAACATATGAATGGGATATACTAATCGATAAACATTACTTTAATTAATAAAACTATCTTAGGACTTACCAATAAAGATAATTCACTAAGTTTACTTAAGTTCTTTTCTTTTTTGTCTTTGAGCTCATTTAACTCTTGTTTGAACTGAGTAATATCTTTATCAGACTTTTCTTTCCAGAATTTTTCATGCTGTCAAAAAATAGTTATTCATCAGTTGATTAATAATATTATCTAATTCACCACCGAATTCAGTGACAAAAATTAAGACTGTGGTTTGTTTATATTACATTCTTACAAGGGTTTTATGAGTATAATTTGTAACTACATATAGCAGTGTTTGAGTAAGTTACAAAGTTCATCTTGTCTATTGATCAATGATAAGGAAATAAAGTACGATATTTCAATATATTTGCCGATTTGTATTGTAGCATACTTTTTTTCTTTGAGAGACAAGACAATACCCACATCAGTAATCTCATGTTAATGTTCTTTGATTTTATCGATTTTGGACTGTCTCCTTATTTTTAATCTTGAGCAAACAAGACTGAAACTTGAAATCGTAGATGAAAAACACTAATCCAGGTATATTAATGATATCTTTATTCATTGCAATGAAATCAGTCAAACTTTCCATGAACGCTGACATTCTAAATGTTATCACTCAAACTTTAAGTTCACAGTGAAATTTGATCATCAGTCTAATATTTTAGACTATTGTGTATAAAAGAAATGATATAACTATCATGAAAACCATACAGAGAAAATAAACTCGGCCAGACCAAAACATGGCACAAGTCCATGAAGTCACCGACAAGTGGACTGAGTCATGTTGGTAGATGTAGACTACCTGGTTGGGGACCGCGAGATGATAGCAACCGATGGTTAGAGACCCTGAATGACATGGCTCAAAATCGTTTGCAATGGCGCAGGTGCATCCACTCTCTGTGTTCTCCCAAATTCTAATCTTCTGAATTCTTCATGTCCCTTTTTTCCTCTTTCCAAATTTATTTCACTGGATTATACTCCTTGAATAACATCTCCAAACCCTAATGCTTCCGATCACTGCTTATACTCTTACTACCTCTACCACTACGGGATTTGAATCGACAACTGAATCTCTGTGCTAATGTGGTTTGGCAACTCGAACTGATGTACGTACGTACGAAGTTCTAGGTTGTTACTGACTGACTGATTAATAATTAAAATGTAGTAGTTTTTATCTTGACCAGACGAAATGTTCATCGACAGAGCTAGAATATTGGCCACAAGAAATAAAATTAACAGAACTTGGAAACACCACATCTTTCATAGAATATCTAGTTCCAAAGGCATTTACTATGAAATATGGAAGGAATTATCATAAACAACTAAACATCAGCAAACAAACCTGTTTTTTATTCGTTTCTCTTTAAGAGAGTTGATATTTCAAGAAAAAATGATAAAAGAATTGCGATGTTATTGAAAAGTAGTTTTCTTGAATTTAAAATGATTTCATCATACAACAAATAATTAGGAAACCATTCAAAAGTAAATCAATGCCCATCCGATATCATCTTGAAATGAACTTAGAAATTTACAGATATATGTGGTACCAAGAGTTCAGAAAGGACTTGGAGAAAGGTTTCAACTAGGCTGCCTGAATCCAATATTAGAAACTGATGTCTGAGTGACAAGCAAGTTTTTGCAAATACGATCACTTACTCTCGACAGATAATAGACAATATCGAGATATATCCAAAACATTCAAAATAAAAGTACTCTAATTTTACTCCGCTCTGTATGATTCGAAATTCCTGGTCTGAACTATGAATACAAAAGAAACCTCAATTAGCTTTTCACTGTCATGAGAAAATAGTTTTCAACAAATACTCTTATCCATCACATAATATTATTAGCGTTCATTTGTTTCAGTTCGAACAATGCTGGTGAATTATGCAATCACTTATTCGTTCAGTTATGATTGTTTGATCTCTTAATTTTAATATTATAAACACTAACTAAAGCCTACCAGAATTTTGTCGCAAATCATTTAAATACGAAAATAAAGGAGAAAGTTTGACTTATTCTGAATATAAATATAAAATGTATGTTCATAAAAGTTGTATAACAAATTTTCGATAGACGCGTCACAAAAAATGGAAGAATACAGTGCTGGAAGCTAAATTTACTATCCAAGTTTTCTGTTTGTATCGAAGTGAATTCCATTCAGCCAGTGGTTTCATTCGTATACACTCAATCTCCTAACATCTTTCTATGCATATGCATATATATATATATATATATAACGTTTTTATAGATACCTTTCTTAAGTATGATATACGATCATTTAAGTAAGATGTAATCTCTGCATGAACTCGTTCTTCTGTGTTACGATTTGATTGAACGAAATCTATTTGATGTTTGATTTCATTTTCTTTTTGATCACATTGACTTTGGAATTCTTCTAATTTTACTGCAGAATAACGTGTTATATATTTTTCTTCCATAATTATTTTAGCTTTCATTTCCTTGAGGTATAGGATAATAATAATAATAATAATAATAATAATAATAATAATAATAATAATAAGCCTGTTTTGTAAATTGTCCACTTAATGACTGTATTGAGTAACATAATAATTAATTTTCAGATTCATTAAAATAATTGTTAAACAGCTATGAGCTTAGGTTTTATACTTAACATTTTTTAGCAAGAAGTTGGTTACAAACTAAACTGAATCTATTATTCATGAAGTCTAAATCTCTCGCTAACAAAGACAAAGATATTAAAGCTTGACTATTTCTGTCGCTTAAATGTTAGCTGTTACATGATGATTGAATTACGGAAACAGTTCTAGTAGTCATTAAATTATAATTTTTGAAAATAAATTGTGTCCTCTCAAAAGACAAATTGTTTCAAGAATGACATAAGTCACTATCAAGTCTAATTACACAAAATGTATCGGATAGGCCCAGTGACCAATTGGTTTATCTTGAAAGTCCTATTAATCTTAATGGGTTGACAACTGACAAAATTTTAATCCTTAAGGAAAACCTTCCCTTGGTCCTTCCTAAGTTGCAACACTTATAGTGAACACGAAATAATTATCCACTTATCAAAACAAAGTTACATTAAACTAAAGTTTATAAAATCTATTTATCTTTATGAAACAAGGACTTTAGAAACACCGGACATTTGTAGGTTGAAGTTATTTGATCATAATACTTATTGAACTACTGATAATCAATAGTTTGACTATTATTTCAGTGTGATCTAAAGTAAGCAGATTAACAATAAGACACAAATCGAATTTTAGTTGATCATTTTTTTACTATGTCACTATGTTGAAATGTAATATGACGTGTATATTTTTTCTAAACTCATACTCTTTATTTTCTATCAGGTAAATTACAATTTACCTTTCTTATCAAATTTGTCACAAAGGTTTTCGGAACTATCATAAGTAGCCTTTAGATCCTAATATTGTTGAATATTTAGTAACAATTCAATAAATTATGGTGAGTCAATAGAAAATAGACCACCATGGAAAACCTAGAAGCACCAGATGGTCGTTTCGTCCTACTGTGGGAATCCTCAGTAGTGCGTATCCATGATCCCTCTCGTGAGATTCGAACCCAGGACCTATCATTTGGATGCAGGCTCAGTGATCTAAAGTTTAAGCGTTTGAAACGGCTATCCAGTGCTTCTAGGTTTTCTATGATGATCTAGCTTCAATTCACTCATGAATTCAATTATTAAACTACTACAATCTCCACAAAGTCCCTCTCAAATTACGATGTAGCAATATTATGTTGAGCTAGTTGTTTTTTTAAAAAAAGCAACACAATAGAATTGTATATAAAAGGTTGATATATTTTCTAATCTCTCACAAAAAAAGCATTTTTCAAATAGATAACAACAACATTAAATTTTTTTAAAAGTGGAGATAAGAGTTACTTGGACTTGATCCTTTAAATATGCTATAGTTTCTTTGCCTTGTTCAAGAATTTTTATACCTTCTTCATTCTCTTCTTGAATCTTGTGTCTCATTTCCTTGATTTTCTCACGAGCTTGACGTTCTCTATTTTAAAAAACAAATGTAAATTGTTTTTTTTACTTTCGATTAGAAAAAAAATGTTATGGAGAGAAAGAAACAGAATATCATATACTAATATAACCTAGTTTAGGTTTCAGCTGTAGAGCTTATCCACAACTCGACTGGAATTGAGTCCTGAAACGTCACTTTTGTATTGAAAGCACAATAATTCTAGATCAGTGAATCAAAAGTTTCGTGGTCAACTTTAATTTCTTTTTAGCATGTACATTAAGTATATATATATATATATATATATATATATATATAACAGATAAAAAGATTTTTTGTCAACATTTAAGAACAGGGATTAACTGGTAAGTCTGTCTTTTCAGAAATTATCTAAGATTTTGATAATTTACAATTTATCAGTGTGCACTGAACTGATGGTACGAATGTTATTATTAAAGTGTATCTCCTTTTTTATATTCTCTTCACAATATAATATTGATGTACTAGTTGATATTTTTAACATATATATTTTTATTTGTTTTACCTTTATCTCAGCTAATACTGCAGTATATAGGCACAATTTACTTGGTCATCTTTGTATTTTAATATACTAAGTGAAAATCAAATTATTAAAACAGTATTACTTTAATTATAATGTCGATTTGATGTAACTGACCCTTCAAAATACCAGGAAAAAGTGAATAGCATTGATATGTGAGTTTTGTATTGGATTAGATCGAAAAAATATTTATCTTCCCGTAGAATTTATAAAATAGTTATACTGAATTAACTTGGCACTTCCACCTATTGAGATATCTTGCAGTTAGTTCTCCCTCTTAAGATATTATTCAACTGAATGCATGAGGCCACTTGAACATTTCGAGTCAATATCTAAAACTAAGCCACATGTTATTTACATTTTTCCAAAACTAGTTAGCATAAAAATGTCGGTTTATCAAGTAAATACAGAATGGCTGAATGAACAGATGAACTGTTAGGTTGCATCAATACTTAACGTCTATAGGTTGACAGGGTTTTATTACGAATAAACAAAACTGGACTTTCATAGACAGAATATCTGAAGACACTTCAGTATGTCATAATACAGACGTGATGTAATTACTTATTGAATAGTTGAATTCATCAGCCAATTAAAGCTAGACTACCACGGAAAACCTGGAAGCACTGTACGGTCGTTTCGTCCTAGTATAAAACTTCTCGTCAGTGCGCATCAACAATCCCGCCCATGGGATTCGAACCTAGGACCTTTCGATCTCTCACGCGAACACCTTTAGACCTCTGAGCCGGCATCCAACGGTGTCCAACTTCAAACAACCCATGGTGGTCTAGCTTCAAATGACTCATGAACTCAACTATTAAATTGCTATAATATCCACAAAACCCCTTCCTAATTACTGATTCATTTTAATAAAGTATAGGATGCATTTTATGAGGTGAATATTAGCATTATTATGAAACTTTTATGAGTAAAAAGAGCAATTCACTTCTGAGTAACGTAGTTATTATCATTCTTATTATTACAATGTGTCATCATTAGTATTATTTGACCATTCAACAAAAATTTTTAACTCTTACTAACATTTCCATATATTCTGTCACTATTATAAAAGCCTATTTCAACTTAAAATAAACTCAATATTGTTGTTAATTATTCATTTCATAACTCATCTAAAATTTAGATTATGGTCAATAATGATCCAAATATTATTTTATTCGTATCTACTTTACTATATATATTGTGAAGTTAATATATTGGTGTAGAGATATTATAAATAATGTAGGTAAAAAGGAATATTTCCTCGCTCAATAACTTGAACGATAATTGATGTCATAAATAAAGCATTCATTTAAATAATCAAAGAACTCTGTATATATGTGTAATGAAGAGAATGGAAAATAAATGACAATTAGGAGAGCTACTTCTTGGAACTTTAATTCAATTAGGTCATAATCTATAATTCTCGAATTTAGTTAGGATAACTGTCTTATTTTCTTGATCAAAATCTTCTTTAGGACCTACGAACTAACCAAAATTTATTATTATTTCAGCACCAGTCTTGGATTCAATTTTTTGTATCTTAAATGCCCTATTTTTGCATATATCGTACTTTTCTGACTTATTATGCATTGTGGTTCAATTATTTATATATTTAGTGATGTACTTTTTGAATAAGATATAACTGAATACATAGGTTTTTGCAACGATCTCTTTTCTTGTTAAATAATAAGTGTTCTCGTAGCAGATCATTATTCAGTGAACAGAATAGTTTTCTGCATTCAAGGCTAGTAGTCACAAGCCAAACTCATACATCGACATTATCAAGGTCATATTAAGTAGACTAGCACACTAGGGTCACTAGCTAGTTCAGAAACTAATCTCCGTACATATTTTACTACAGAACAACTTGGCAGACCGAAGTCACAATAGTGTGATTATCAGTGTTAGTTTAGACACCTAAATGATTTATTAAATTCAAACCACGAAAAAACAACTGCATTATTGTTGAAAGACAAAACTTCGTATACTTCCACTTTTGGTTCAAATTTAAAAGATGTAGAACTATATGAATTATTTCTACGTACATATATGAGGTTACCCAATCCTTCGTTAAAAAAGGGACTAACAACTGCGTTACTACTCATTATTGAGTTGTATTGTAACGAAACCTATTATTTCTCACAGTACGTCTTAGTTTTTTTTGAATTGTTTTTCGATGTATTTCATTGCTATTACCTAAACCATGTATTCTGATCAAATAGCTCATTACATGTACCTTAAGCTCCTAACGTATGATCAAAATGATATTTGAGTACTGGCAACACAAAATTTATATTACATTATAAAAATGAATTGACAGTTCGCATAAGGAATCAAGCTGTGCTAGAAAACTACGTGGGTCTTGTAAGATGTAAACCGATTAATAAGATTGTGATAATATAGTTAAACGAATAAAGCGTATTTCCGTATGGCAGCTAAGGAATACTAAATAAGTAAAACAAACTACAGATTTTATGGAAACTGATTCGTGTTTAGTCTTTGGCAATAAATACTTATGACCTACCTTTCCAGAATATGTTCTATATCTTTGAATTCTGATTCTTCTTTGTCAACTGATTGTTGCAATGAATCACATGACCCCGTATTTTGAATTTCTTCTGCCAATTTTTCAAGAACATCGATTAAACAAAATCTATCCATTCGAAAAATGATGAGTACCTACATTTCCTTCATTAGTTTCTCCATGTACTTTGTGGAAAAGAACGAGTCTTCAACGACTGTCGCAGTCGATGGATACTCTGTGATTTTGGAACTCTTCTGTAGTTCCTTGAGCACCTTCATATGCATAACTTGAAAACTGGCACCTAAATTTCGATAATTAACTTCAAAGTACTGTATTTAAACGAGTATTTTTCCAGTATTTTATTCATTTGTTTAAGAACAAATTCTTCGGCTTCTGAATAATTTAAATTGATTCTCTGTTTCTAAATTTAAATTTGATTACTTAGTAAATGATCTATTATCTGACCTTTTTCCTCATAATGTCAACAACATTTGCTAGTATTTTGAACTCTTTTACTGCATCATGTAGAATGACGCAAAGTGAAAAAGCAGTAGAACTCTCCATAGTTTGTGTACTTTTATCTACATTTGCTCAAATGTCGTTCACACTCTAAACAGAATTGTGTCGACAAGGTGTTAACAAAACTGATAAATATCTACTCAATAATTCCAAGAACCTACAATGAAAAGAGAAAAAATGTTTTGATGCGCAAACAAAACACATATTTACTTGATTAATCTGCAGCATAAATTCCAAATTTCGGGAAAAATGAAACGTGATATCACATTGAAATTTAATACGGCTTATTTTATACGAGATAATTAAGACGAAGTCTTTAATTTAGTTTTTTGGGCCACACATCCAACCTTATCACTTTTCGCATATATTGGGAAACTAAATTATATTTTATGTTGTAAACCTTACAGTGTTCACAGAAGTCAGTAAATACTAATTATGAAACTATTATGTACAACATTATGTAAAGCAAAATACGACGTTTCTACAGTCATGAATAGCCTAAAACAAATAAACTTAGAGTGTATATAGACTTGTTTGGATCTAAGAATATGTTGCTATTGTTTGAAAGCTCAGAATAACGAATGAAAATCGAAACCAATGGTTACTTGTTGTAAGTGGTATCGCGGTGTACGCTACTTATATTGACAGGAAAACAGAGTGGTTATCCCCACCAAGTCTACTTTCACTATATTATCAGTTTGTTATATCATGGAAAGCTAAGGTTTTTTAGTTTTATGTAGCAGTTATGAGTCAGTTAGACGTACTTAAATAAAGTGATGGCCCGCATTTTTGTATACGAGTTCTAACTCTTGTTGTCCTTTGAGCCCTAGAGACAACCATAATTTGCTGAATGTTGTGGGTTTCTCAATACGCACTGCCTACTGCCAAAAATCAACGGGTCGATTGTCTGTAACAGTGTTGTTTATTGATGTACAGAACCGATAAGTTTGGGGAAGAAGCAGTGACTGGATAATACTGGATAATATCCAATACGTCTCCCCAGGTGCGTACAACAAATTACAAAGACTTTGACCTATAATTACAGAATTAGGTCTGACAAATATCACGTAGTAATTAACGAAAATTTTTTTATGATAAACCAATTTATTTAATTTGCAGTATCTGCGAAATATAGAGAACAATACAATAAATACACTATTTCCCTATCTTTTTAGAATCGTCTACTACAAACTCTTTCGTAATTTTGTTACTGTTGTTATTTTTCTTACTTTTCGTTCTCTTCTCTGTGTCCTTCTCTTCTGTCCGTAGAAATTCTTTTAATTCTAACACATGCTACTTACATCTGTCTGTACAAGTATTAGAAACCATAATATATTTATTGTCATACAACCTGACATGAAGTAAGGTTCATAGTCTTTTGTATGCTATTGATCAAACTATCGTGTTTGTGCGAATAATGTACCGAGACAAATTCATTACGTTTTAGAAAATTTATGACCCTACATAGCAAAATTATGAAGTATAATAACACATGAACGTTAACTCTATTATAGAACCAAAATATCTTTAGAAATTCTGCCAGTCATCGTTATCTGTAGACAAGGGTTAATTCCTCAGTTTTAATAGATTTTCAAATAAAACATGTGATAAAAAAGATGTTTTAATATTTTTAGTATGAAAGCACAAATTACGACATTTTGTCTTATACGTAGCATTTAGTCAAACAGTTCATATCTTGACAGCATCATTAGTAGGCAAGTAACACGTTTTCATTGCTGAGTAGACTGACTAAAATGGTTACATTTTCTAACCTAATCATCTATTTTAAAATGACTCAATCATAAACGTGCTCGTAGTACCGCAAATAATAATTCATTCTTTTATTTACTCAAGGACCAAACATCCCTCAAAGCCATGATCAAAACTTTGAAGCGCCAATTAAACAAGGAAAAAGTTTTCACCTTTTCAATCGAGATATCTACTTGAACAAGTAGTAACATTCTCATCGATGAAAACTATAGGAACCAAACTAGAATGTTATGTTTATGTAAAAAAGATTGGTTTTTTCGTACGTACCTGGACACACGAACATGAATTCAGTACAATACTTTAAAGTTAGTGCAGTAAAACAGACACGCAGCAACATGACACAACTCAATAGTCAACTACGGACTGTCCAACTATCACTAGGACCCATAACGTCTTGAAAAATAACTCAGTAACTTACCTATAAGTTACATAACTTCCATTACTGAAAAAAGCGAAATAAAATGTACTGGATTGAAAACTTAATTAGTTAAACTGAATGAACTAAATTGTATATTTCACCTTATGAAACACAACTAGGCAGAAATACCTACTTTTAAAATCCTTGATGAATGCACAGTCAAATAAAATTTACAAATTTTGAGTCGGTCAATATTTTGAAGGACGAGTTATATACATAAACAATTTAATATCTGTATAATTAATCCAAAACGCGATTTATAGAACGACAAAAGCACATGTACATAAACAGGTGGATGCTTGAATGTTTCAAATTTTTGATCAATCGGTATTTATACTGCCTCTGCCTAAACGTGCGATGGTACCAAAAAAATAATATACACACTACATTATTACGAAATGGAAGGACATTCGATTAGCCCTCTCGAAATAGTGTCAAGTGCTCTACTTCGAAGACAATACAACCTTTAAGCGTGACATACTTTAAAAAAACTGGATAATATTCAAGGCAATTCAATAGCTACCAACTATCTTTGTAGCATGAAACTCAACCAAATGACGGACATTGCCGAAATATTGAATCAAAACGTCCAACTAACTGCACTCGGTAAATGAAAATAATAAAGTAACCAGGCTATTAATCCGTGATTTTTAAAACCAATTTCGTCTTTATCTCGACATTTACAACAAGCCGAATAGTTTCTGAAGAACCAAGGAAGTATAGATCTGTATTAGTGTGAGAATGAAAAGGTGTAGAAAAATAAATTAAAAGAAGATGTCAGTCGGCGAATTAGCGACACAATGTCCCTTTTTTGAGGTAAAATGTTTTCCGTTTGGGGAAGTCTTGAGGAAACCGCTAGAGAACATTCAGATGTGGAGATATTTCGCGTTTTTCCCCGATATTTGCGCAAAAGATTCAACAACTTTGAGAAAATACATCGACGTTCTGCTTCCAAAACCCAACATTTTACCGCTTTTTAGGGACATTCTACAATTAAGTGCAATTAAGTCCAAAAATCATTAACATCTATAACAAAGGTAACAGACAATAATTAGCAATAACTTGAGCGTGATGTTAATACCATCTTATAATGAAAACAAAAAGTTGATGGTGTGCGGTTTCAAACGTTTTGAAACATATTTTAACCCGTAAAGTCCCATACATTCGAACATTCGCTGATATATCATAACGACAATAACTACTGTTCGAACGTGTCAAACAAATAGATTGCATAAAGTTCCAAATAAAAGTGTAATAAATCCGCTCAAAAGTAATCGGCTCTAAGCTTGTGATTTTTTAAGTTTGTCTTTGTAAATACTTGTTTTAAAAACAAGAGAGGTGGGTGTATTTCAGATCCTTAGTCGTCGGTAACTTAAAAACTAATATCCCGACACCACTAGTCCCCCTATATGACAAAAAGGAATATGTTGAGTTTAGACAGCCTTCATGTGCACAGCAACTTAATTATTCCAGAAATCAAATTAGTTGAGTATCTTTGAGCCCTTTCTAACTTTTTAATGTCATTTCTAGGCAGGAACTTTCTTCTCGTATTTAATGACCGCATTAAGGATAAAAATTGCTTTACACAAAGTCAAAACGTCCCTATATTAACATTGCTAAAGGCTTTATATATTAGTCTGAAGAGTCATAAGGTTTTGGGAGATATCACAAAGATTGTACATTGCATTCAAGTCTTGGTTAACCATGACTCCAAATTCATCGTGTATCTGGAGGAAATATACCGCGACGACACTCACTGTGTATGTATCAGTGCCTTGGCATCACCTAGGCATCACGATGCACTTGGAAGCATTTATCAGCAACTGCCACATTCTAGATCACTCACATAATTTCTGTAAATCATTTTTAAGCTCAAAATTGACCAATATATTCCCTGTCATTCCGTATATTTCGATCTCCAAGTCTATGAGGAAACCGACTTCAGCAACATTTTTGGAGCCTTTTAGTCCGTCCATACATTTCATAATAACATTCTTTTGTGAACAAACACTGTATGGCAAGTGAAACGTCAGTGGCCGCCACGTCAAATTGTCCAGCATACAGGTCAACGAGTCGAACCCTATCGATCTAAGACAAGTTTAAGGCCACACAACACACATCAATCAATCATATGTGACAGTTGTTTTCCCTTATACTTCCGAAACCTTTAAATATTATTATTTGCTTACGTTTGTCGAGAGTATTTATTCCAACCAATGATTTGAGCAGCAGATATGCCTTATTATCACGATTATATAGTGTGTGTTTAGCATGAACCACGAGATTTCACTCCATCTTAAACTACGATGTCAAATCATCCCAGTCCAACTCGAGTAGATAGCAATCTTTGATACAGATGACATACACTGCTGATATTAAATACCAAAATAATATTTTCCTGTATGGAATCGAGACTGGTATAATCAGAAAAAATGAGATGAGTTTTTCTGGACAGATAATAAGAATCTAGTTTTGATAGTGTGGAGGCTGTAGAAAACAAATTACATAGCATTTTGTTAGTGAATTTAAATGGAGGATATGTACGAAGATATGAAAGTACATATTGGCTGTGTTCATCTTTTTCCGAGTAATTTCTTCAATATAGTCATAATTTTAAGCCCTTGATCAAATAAAACATTTTAAACAATGCTACGCTGGCTACTCGAATAGCTCTGCTACATATTACTCTTGTCGTCGTTGTTCACTGAAGCCTGCTTTAAGATGCAGCTTGAGCAAACTTTCTGCCAGTCAATGAAATCAAAAATGAACTGGAAAAAAGTGAATTGCTCTTGAATACTAATAGCAGTCGACTATGTTTGATGTAAATCAATCAACCACAGCTACAAAACTCAGTTGATTACACACAACAATTGTATCGAATGGATAAAAATTGTATTATGATCTCTAAAAATTCATGACCATGTGGAACTGTGCCAATACCTTCACTTTTCATACTCTCCATGGCAAACTTGTAAGCCTTTTTTAAAACCATATTCCGATAATCAAATGTTGTTTCTCAGTAACTAAAAGCAATTTATTTACATAGTGAAGTTCGAGATGCATGCTCTCTGGCCAGCAAAGCACTTCAACGTTAGTATTATTGATTAGAGAGCGTTTCACGACGATCGAAATCCTGTAGAAAGTGCTAAGAACACTTACACGTTTGTGAACCTAGAGGACCTCAGGTGACCATTCGACTAAATGCTCTGCAACCAAAATTAAATAAATGTATATTTGGAGGTGATGTAGATGACATCACTGATTGCCTTCATACCAGATTGAGACCCTGTTTTCTTCAAATCAGACTAATGTTATTAATACCACCTAGCGAGTTCCAAGAGTCAGGTATCAATAGTCAGTATTACAGAAATATGTTCCTTGTGATCTGCTCCGCAATCATTGACGTTCGTTCATAACGGCGTAAGCGAAAATGGTGTACTGCAACGTAATCTTTATTAAAGTCGCTTTGGAATCCAGTAATCTGATGAGTGATGATTTTATTTTTGGTTGTTCGCAGTCGAAATGTTTCAGAAAGAGGAATCTGTCAGATAAAACACAACCCTTTAGCTTTAATAACATGTATTTATCAAATCTAAGATGTTCTACTGAACTTTGTTGAGCAAGCAATTATGTCATTCTATTTCGGGGATTGATGTGAGTTCATTCTAGTACACAAAAAGAACAGATTTGAACCCAATATATCAAATGTACCAGCATCTCGCATAATAACTTTATATTATAGTTACAATCCACACTCTGGGGATGGCTGTATATATTTGATCTTAAATAATGAAATATAATACTCTTCTATGTATGAGTATTTTTTGCGTGGAAAAAATTCATGTAGTCCAAGAATGCGACAGTTTACACAACTACTTGTGATCCGAAATCGTCTTTAAAGTTGTGCAGATGACAATGACATTAAATTTAATACTTCGAAATGTAGAATACTCCATCTGAGACATGTTACAGGCTACAAATAAAACTTAGGGAATTTGGTACTCTACGATCTGAAGCCTTACGCTGACTGCCGCAAAAGTGCCTTCAGAAAAAATATTGAGCTGTTAAAGTTGGAGCACATTTTCGGCCAGCTCGACCAAATAACTTTCCGCATAATCTTCAACAGACTTTTTCGACTCCATTAAGAGTATGAAAACACCGTATTTCTTCACACACCTCAAAATGATATGAACAATCTGGAACGTATCCAACAGCGAAACATGAAATCAGTTTGGGGACTGAAATTCAAGTTTTATGAAGAGCGCATCCAATCAAAAAACTTTTATCCAATGAAGTACGGGAGTTTTAGAGGTGACATCCCTATTACTTGTGGCATCCTTAATACTCTGTGCATCCCATTAATTAACTACTTAAACTTAGTCCCGTCAAAAACCTCAGGGGTAACACCCAGAGTCTGGAGACTCAACACAGCATGATAGACTGTAGTCACACATGCTACTCCTTAAGAGAGGTCAAATGCTGTAAATCACTGCTATCTGAGCTAGTTTAATCGACTTGCAAGGAGTTGTTTGAGAGAAAGCTCGACATATTCTTAAGTACAAGAACAGTATCTTACTATGATATACCAAGTTTTTTCTTTTTCCTCTTTTATCATTAATACAGTTAGATTACTACATAGAGGCATGTGTGACTCACTGCTGATAGATACGATAGCCCGACAAGCGAAAGCTTCTATTCTAACCAGACCCATTTACCCCTTCACGCCTTTAGAGGCGGGATGCTTGGATTGCAACGATACTTGAAGGTTAAAACATTTTCAGTATTCAGCTCTATTATTCTAGTTGTAGACCTGAGAATATTATATTTCCAAGTAACTCAATTTATAGGAATCTTTTTATACTTCGCTAGGCGTTGTTATTGCCCTAAATATTGACAACCTATAGATCTTTGACTTTATTAATAGCTTTATTCAAATATATTTTTTTTATTTCAGTTTGAAATTCTCTGCACAAACACATGGAAGTTTACACATACATGTAGACTCTTTCGTACAAAGTTTAGTCCTATTTAATAGTACCTTGATTTCTCAATAAGTAGGTGTTTCTCAATGGGGAAATATCTCCCTATTTTGGGAAATTCCCGAAAGTTTTGGGGAAATCCCCAAAACTTCTGCCGAATTTTGTTGGTTTCCCCACACTTATGGGGAAACTGCTTATTGTCATTGGCCTTTTGGAAATCACAAAATCGGAAGATTGGGTTA